TCTTTGGGGTGAACCAGCCTTTGCCGTAATGTGTTTTGGGGTTTGAAAGCCACTGGGACATCATGTTTAGAAAATAAACGTCTCAGTTTCTCTGAAACACGCACACCCGTTGGTTTGACAGAGGAGTAAAAGAAGCCATTTTTATGAAGAAAGACCGTCCATCATTAAACAGAGGTGGAGGCCTCCATTTTCAGTTGTCCCCCTCCTACAGTGCTGCAATTGCCAGTATCACTCCACCCCGTTAACAATAGGTGTTAATTAGGTGTCAACGATATCCATGTGATGTGAGTGTCAGTCACATGGAGGCAGAGCTTAAAAGCCTGAATTTTGCCTGAAACTCTCAGACTGAAGAAGTCTCTTGGAGGAGAGACGAAACGTTTCATTAGAGAAGAATCCGTCCAGAAGACCTATACAATTTTTTTTTCTTTTTGATTTTTTACCTGGATTACTGAGATGCATCAGGACTTAATGAAAGAAGAGTAAAATGCTTATAGTTTTAAGTACACACTGTAAGAGAAATGTAGTTTGGGGAAATAGAAAGAGTTTGTTTGGAAAACCTTTTGGGAAGTTTAGATGTTTCATAAGTGTGTACATCAAACAAACAAACAAACAAACAAACAAACAAACAAACAAACAAACAAACAAACAAAGCTGACCATGCTGCTGTAGAATCTGTGTTTATAAAAGTCATAATAACCTCGCTAAACCCCACAAACACACACACTTTTAAGTCCAATAACTGAGGAAGCTGTGCAGTCTTGGAGACAGACAGTGAGCGATATGATGGCTGTTGTTGGTTATTATTGGTTATAAAACCCAATTCAGTATAACCATCAAAGCTATGAACACTAATCAATACAAAAAAGGCTGTAATTTAAGTCGAATGCACAGATACGGTGCTAAAATTTGATGCGATAATAGCTGAGATTCATTCCCAACAACACACTCAGAGCTTCACATCTCAACATATTTGCAGGAATTTTTAAAGCAACAAAAGCAGCTTCAGCTCCTTGATTTAATGATTTTAGTCTAACTTCTGGCATGGTGGTGTGTTCATTCTTTGAAGGAACGATAAGTCTTTATTTTCACAATACAAGCAGTAAAAGCAGAGGACCTAATATGTTTTGTTAACCGAATATCAAAAGAGCACCACACTTAGATTATTTTAACACACAGATAGAAACTGGACTGCCACAAGTTTCCTGGTTTTATCACTTGTTATAACAGTAAATACCCGCGTGATGAAAAACATTCAAATGCTAGCTATAAA